GGTTTTGTGTGCTGCTTGCATCTTGCGGATGGGGCTTCGCTTGTTTGTGTGGACCGGTTGCTGGCATGCTGCGGCCCAGTACTGGTCCACAGACTGGGGGTTGGGGACCGCTGCTCCAAAGCACTAGAAGACAGAACAAGAAGCAATGATCCAGGAGAGAAGCAACCTAGAACTAAGGAGGAATTTGCTGACAATTACAATAATTAATCACTGGAACGACCTGCCTCCAGAAGTCGTGGGTGCTCTAACGCAGGAGATTTCTAAGAAGAGATTGGACGACCATTTGTCTGAAATGGTATAGGGTCACCTGCTTGTATTATAAAAAAGATATTGAGATTCTGTGAAGAGTGCAAAAAAGAGCAACAAAGATGATTAGAGGGTTGGAAGATAAATATGAGGAATGGTTGCAGGAATTGGGCATGTCTACTTTAATGGGGGGGGGAGACCTTGGGGTGACATGATAGCAGTGTTCCAGTATCTCAGGGGCTGCCACAAAGAAGAGGGAGTCAAGCTATTCTCCAAAGCGCTTGAAGGCAGGACAAGCAGTAACGGATGGAAACTAATCAAGGAGAGAAGCAACCTAGAACTAAGGAGAAACTTCCTGACAGAACAATTAATCAGTGGAACGACTTGCCTCCAGAAGTTGTGAATGCTCCAATGGTAGATGTTTTAAAGAAGAGATTGGACAGCCATTTGTCTGAAATGATATATAGTGCTTCCTGCCTGAACAGGGTGTTGGAACTACAAGACCTCCAAGGTCCCTTCCAACTCTATTATTCTTTATTCCCCTTTGAAGCATACCTGCTTAGCTCCCCAGTCACTCAGCCTTCCCGTAGATTGAGGCTCCGAGTTGAAAAAGCTGGGTTTCAGTTTAGCTTTGCTACCACTCAGTCTAGGGAAGCTGCCTCTGTTGAATTCCTGCCTGGCGTGCAGTTATTAAAAGGTACTCCCATAGAGAAGGACAGCTGGGGAACTGAGCACCCCAGCTTTCAACCAATGCAAGGAAGCGGACATTTCTGGGATGCCCTTCATGATACTTGGAATAGTTTCAGGAACTCTTTCCTATGTTGCAACTGGATGTTTGATCAATATTGATCCAAAATGACAAACCATTAACCCCTTTCCATCTGAGTAACCCTCTGCAGTTGTTCTAATTTGCCATTACCATAAGAGCCGTGGTGGCACAGTGGTTAGGATGCAGTATTGCAGGCTAATTCTGCCGACTGCCAGCAGTTCGATTCTTATCAGCTCAAGGTTGATTCAGCCTTCCATCTTTCCGATGTCGGTAAAAGGAGAACCCAGATTGTTGGGAGGCAAGATGCTGACTCTGTAACCCACTTAGGGAGAGCTGTAAAGCACTGTGAAGCGGTATATAAGTCTAAATGCTATTGCTATTACAAGGAGTTCTCAGCTTACAACCAGTCAGTTAGTGATCGTTAGTTGCAATGGAAAAAAGGTACTTACTACCTGGATTCAAAGTCCCAATAGCCGGGCTCTGATATACACTTTTTTTTTTTTTGCTTGAAACCAACATTTACTTTGAGTTTCCAGCAAAATCCTCACAGCAAAATCCTTGCCGACAATGGATTTGCTTACTGATCATGGCAATTCACTTAATTCTGTTTCAGCTATGTGTCCAAATCAAGGCCTAATATTTTAAGCAGGGTGACATCTGAGCAGGGCATGGTAGAATGAGAAAAACACTTTCCATAACTCTATGTCCCAGTTAATGCTTTCCAGCATAGTTTCTTAACAGCTTGGTCACACTGCCAGCTCATGTTGAACTGTTTGATCTTCCACTAGGAGCAGAGTTTTTCTCCCAGTTGATGTCATGGTAGTTAAAGTCCCCCATTACTATTGTGGTATGTTTCCTATATATCTTAGTTAACTGATTAGCAAAAAGTTCATCAATTTCTTCCTTTTGGTCGAGTGGCCTGTAATATACACATGCCTATGGCAATATCATTTCCCCCTCTTTTATATTGACCTAAATGCATTCAAGACAGTCTTAATCATTGTTCTGCTGTATTCGTGTAGAGGTGTAGTTATTTCCTATATATAGTGCAACTTCATCTCCTCTTTTATTAGGTCTGTTTCTTTTAAACAATTTAAATCCCTCTCGCTGTAAATTCCATTCATGGGTTTCATCCCACCAAGTTTCCGTAATGCCAAACTAGACTTCCATATTCTCTCCTTGGGCTTTTCATTTTTATATCCAGTTTCTGAATGTTTCTACTTAAAAGAATAACAGTGTCAAGTTAGGTTGCATTAATGGATAGAATCAAGACCACATGACGTATTAGTACCACTTTATAAAGCCTTGGTAAGACCACACTTAGAATCCAGCATCCAGTTTTGGTCACCGTATTATAAAAAAAGATGTAGAGACTTTGGAAAGAGTGCAGAGAAGATCAGCAAAGATGTTTGGGGGGGCCGGGGGGGCGGAGGCTAAAACATATGAAGAACGGTTGCAGGAATTGGGTATGTCTAGTCTAGTGAAAAGAAGGACTAAGTGTGACATGATAGCAATGTTCCATTATTTGAGGGGCTGCCACAAAGAAGGCCTTTGAACTATGGTGCTGGAGAACACTCCTGCGAGTCCCTTGGACTGCAAGGCGTTCAAACCGGTCAGTCCTAGAAGAGATCAACCCCGACTGCTCTTTAGAAGGCCAGATCCTGAAGTTGAAACTCAGATACTTTGGCCACCTAATGAGAAGGAAGGACTCACTGGAGAAGGGCCTAATGCTGGGAAAGATTGAGGCAATAGAAGAATGGGATGACAGAGAATGAGGTGGCTGGATGGAGTCACTGAAGCAGTAGGCATGAGCTTAAATGGACTCCAGAAGATGGTAGAGGACAGGAAGACCTGGAGGAACGTTGTCCATGGGGTCGCGATGGGTCGGACACGACTTCGCAATTAACAACAACACCACAAAGAAGAGAGGAGCAACCTGTTTTCCAAAGCAGCAAAAGGCAAGACAAGAAGCAATGGATGGAAACTAAATCAAGGAGAGAACCAACCTAGAACTGAGGATAAATTTCTTAACAGCGAGAACAATTAACCAGTGGAACGCCTTGTCTTCAGAAGTTGTGGATTGTGCTCCAGCACTGGAGGCTTTAAGAAGAGACTGGACAGCCACTTTCTGAAATGGTAAAAGGCCTCCTGCTTGAGCAGGGGCTGGACTTAGAAAACCTCCAAAGTCCCTTCCAACTCTGTTATTCTGTTATTCATATTAGTTCAATTTTTTTCTGGATCTTCTCTCAAGCAGTGTTTCTTAAGAAACAACGGATGGAAACTGATCAAGGAGAGAAGCAACCTAGAACTAAGGAGAAACTTCCTGACAGAACAATGAACCAGTGGAACAACCTGCCTCCAGAAGCGGTGAATGCTCCAACACTGGAAGTTTTTAAGAAGAAACTGGACAGCCATTTGTCCGAAATGGCATAGGATTTCCTGCCTGAGCAGGGGTTGGACTCAATGACCTCCAAGGTCCCTTCCAACTTTATTATTATTATTAAGATGACTGGCTGGGGGAATTTTGGGAACTGAAGTTCATCCCTCTTAAAGGATGAGAAACACTGCTTTAATTTATCTCCTTCAGGGGCTGAGAGGAAAACAGCTTCACGAGAACATGACAGAATGAGGTCACCTAGGCATCTTTGCACTGTGCAGAGATATCCACAGGGTCTGGTCAAAAAAAGTAAAAATAATGGCTGCAGCAGTACGCTTCAATCACCCAACTGTGACTGTCATCTTGACTTTTTGACCATTCCAGCAGACACACAAGTAATGTGTTTACAAGCAAGTAGAAGAACAGTTGTTTTGCTTTATCAGCTTGTATTTTACTTAACTATCAAGCTAAGTTTATTTTTCACAGCTGTCAAAATAACAACCAGGCCTTGGCTAATCTGCTGGAATGACTCAAGTCCCCTTTTATTTCAGGGAATTTCCCTTTTCCTCTGCCGTGACTCAAGATTGTCTTGATTGTTGCTTGGATGTTATTCTGTCTCCAGCCTGCATACAGCTGAAAGTCCTCATGACCCAGGCTGAAATCTTTAAAAGCTACAGTTTCAAGTTACTAATCCATATTAATACCAGGTGTTAATGAAAGAAAGGTGGTGAAAGAAGGGAAAAAGTAAAAAGTTTGGTTTCACTTGATGCAGTGATTCTCATGTCATACTAAAATTGGTGGGTTTTTTTTTTTTCCAAATTTGGTGGCTTTAAGATGTGTGGACTTCAGTTCCCAGAATTCTCCTAGCTCGTTTGCTGGCTGGGAGAATTCTGGGAGTTGAAGTCCACAGAACTCAAAGTTGCCAAGTTTTAAAAACATTGTGCTAAAAAAAATGTTTAAAGGACTTGAATTTACATGGCAACACATCATTAACAAACCATAGTTTAGCTTCATCTCACACACTGAGTTGCAAACTAATGAACTTCATTTAAGGTAGTATGTTGTACACACCCAGAATTGCACCAAGCCAGCTTTATTTAAATAACTATTTAAATAATTTTAAAACCAGAACTGACTGTTTATATGTCACTGACTAAGCCATCAACTGCATTAAGTCAAACTGGTTGGTTTGAATTAAACTTGAAGATAACTCATGGGAAGGATTTTGAAACTCTGGTTTATGGCTTCATGTGCTGAACCAGCCAATCCCATGATGGTTTGTTGGATGAACCACAATTGAACAAGCCATAGTTAAGGGCAATGTGCACAGCTAGCCTTCGGATGCAGCATAAGCTGGCATCTTTGAGTTGGACTACAGCTCTCATCACCTGCAGCCAGCTGGGACAGAGGGAACAATACTCAATTCCATCAAACCTGAGGTTGCTTGAGACAGCTTCTCATAAAGAACTGGATAAAATTCACCGCATAGCTAAGCTGGGCTGCCTCTTGCTAAGTTTTGCTTTCTTTTTAGCTGGAAATCTTCCAAGTTATCTGACTCACACAGTGGCTCCCCTCCCCACCTTGTCCCTGGAATTAATTGCAAAATCCTCTCGCAGTCTTGGCCAGAGCTGGAGAAAGCATCGGGCAGGACAGACGTGGTCCAGAGATGTCCTCTCAGAAACGGTTCCTTCTTTGGCTATCATGGATGGGGGCTCTGATAGCGATTAGCCATCAAGCACCAAGGTGGGTAATCACACAGATGTGCCAGCTTCTCTTCCTTAATTATAGTTCTCATCAGCCAGCTGCTGTTTTACCACAGCAAAGACCCCTCCAGCACACGAAATCCCTTACAGTCTTTGCTGAGTGATACTTTACCTGTTGATTTCTCCTTGCCTCTGAGGTAAAAGTCTTCAAGGGCGCAGCCCTAAAAGAGAGTGCAACTTTTATTTTATTTAAATCTATTTGCATGCTGTAAATTAATAAATTCAGCCTCTGCTTTCTGTTTTCACTTGACTTAATTGTTTTTTATTTTTGTTGGGGGGGTGGGTGGGTTGAAAAAAAAACTTGTTAGAAAACAAGCTCTAGCTATATAAACTACACCTGCTTTGTCCTCCCTTTAACATATAATTTTGAAATTGAACTGAATGTTATTGCATTATTAGTGTTGTTATGATGCACATTTTTTTAAAGTTTTGTGTCAATTTTTTATTTTGCATAGTAGGAAGTATGTAATGTGTTGTTACAGTACAGGGAGCTAAACTGGAAAATGAAAAAAAAAGAAAGCATTAGAATATTACTGGGCATGTTTACACAATGAAAACGAAATACACAATTTCTTTTTTAAAAAATTTGTGGAGAAAAAGAATGTGCGACTTTGGTTTGGCAAGGAAACTGCACCCAGTGGTTTTACCACAGGACCTTTTTATGAAGGAGATTTTCAGAATTTAAGAAGTAAAATTGTAGCTTAAAAACAACAACCCTCTTTTGCTCCTTAAAACATCTCTGATTCCCGAGGGCATCAAAATTTGGTTGCTCTAGCGAGCAGCCAAGAGGTTTCATGCAGTCCTGTGTATTTTATTCTCCTGTTCTAAAGGTAGTCCTTGACTTACAACCTTTTGTTTAGTGACCATTTGAAGTTACAATGGCACTGAAAAAAGTGACTTACGACCGTTTTTCACACTTACGTCCCTTCCAGTATCCCTGTGATCATACGATCAAAATTCAGATGTTTGGCAACTGACTTGTATTTATGACAGTTGCAGTGTCCAGGGGGGGGGTCATGTGACCCCCTTTTGTGACCTTCTGACAAGCAAAGTCAACGGGGAAGCCAGTTTCACTTAACAACCAGGTTACTGACTTTATCAACTGCGGTGACTCAGTTAACAACTGTGGCAAGACATGTAATAAAACGGGGCAAAATTCACTCAAAGTGTCTCACTTAGCAACAGAAATTTTTTGGCTCAGTTGTGGTCGTAAGTCGAGGACTCCCTGTATTCTAGTGAAATAACGTGGCCACCATTGTATTGCACAAGCCGCCAGTATAAACTGGTGCAATACATGAACGCAGCCAGTTATTACCTTTTCAGTAAATGAAGGTTAAACAAACCATGCCTCGTCTGTTATACAAACATTGCCAAGGACTGGTTCACACATTGCAATACAATACACCGTAAAACGGCTGCTGTGATGTACCTTGTGAATCAGCCAGCCTGTTTTGCCAACTATGATCACCACCTGAATACATGTAGCTGTCTACCAGGGGTTCTCAACCTTGGCAACTTTAAGACTTGTGGACTTCGACTCCCAGAATTCCTCAGCCAGCAAAGCTGGCTGAGGAATTCTAGGAATTGAAGTCCACAAGTCTTAAAGTTGCCAAGGTTGAGAACTCCTGAAAACTCTCTCTGGGTATGACTGAGCTTTTCCCGAGGCTAAGCAGCTAGAAAGCTCTGTTTGAATCCAGCATTTCTCAACCTTGGCAAATTCAAGATATGTGGACTTCAACTCCCAGAATTCCCCCAGCCAGCCATGTCCACACATCTTAAAGGAGCCAAGGTGGAGAAACATGGGTTTATGTAGCAGAGATGGCAAAACTAACTGCTCTGATTAAAGAAAAGAATTTATTGAGCTTTGTTTGTACTTGGAAACCACTTCTGGACTTTATACTCGAAACAAACAAACAAAAATGAAACCTTGATCTTTAGGTTTTGATGATTAGATTAATGCGCTATTGTAGAAATACAGTACCTGGCCCTTAACTAAACATGCAAAGTAAAAAGTTGAGATTGTGACTGCGCTTTGTATGTTTCCCTTTTTCTTTTTACCTTGCAACCTTTTCTCCTTCTTTTCCTTTCCCCCCACCACTTCTCCTTCCCCTCTTCGTTTCTATTTGCATTTCATATTATGACAAACTTCAGTTGGAAAAATTAAAAAGAGAAACAAGGGTTTAAAAGATTGTATAAATGACCGCGGTAAATACTGTAAGGAGAAGCTGTCGCTTATTAAGACACTCGTGCATGCAACCAGGCAGAAACAGAGAGTCCTCAACTTAACAACCATTCATTTAGCGACCCTTCAAAGTTACAACGGCACTGAAAAAAACTGACTCACAACCAGTGTGGGATTCAGCCGGTTCGCAACAGTTCGGCAGAACCAATAGCTAACTTTTTGTTGCCCAGGCCCAGAACGGACTTCCAGAAGCGGCATCCACACAGAGAACCGGTTGTTCACATATTTGAATCCCATCGTTGCTCACAACCGGTCCTCACACTTAAGACTGTCACAGCACCCCCCCAATCACAATATCAAAATTTGTGCACTTGGAAATTGGTAGATTGCAGCATTCTGGTGTCCCGTGATCACCATTAGTAACCTTCCCAGCTGGCTTCTGACAGTGTCAGTGGGGAAGCCAACATTCACTGAACAACTGCAGTAACACTTTACAATGCTTGGTGAGGCCACACTTGGAATACTGCATCCAGTTTTGGTCACCATGATGTAAAAAAGATGCTGAGACTCTAGAAAGAGTACAGAGAAGAGCAACAAAGATGATGAGGGGACTGGAGGCTAAAACATATAAGGAACGGTTGCTGGAATTGGGACTGTCTAATTTAATGAAGAGAAGGACGAGGGGGGACACGATAGCAATGTTCCAATATCTCAGGGGCTGCCACAAAGAAGAGGGAGTCAAGCTATTCTCCAAAGCAGGAAAGGAAGCAACGGATGGAAACCTAGAACTAAGGATAATTTTCCTGACAATTAGAACTATTAATCAGTGGAAACACGTGCTTTCAGAAATTGTGAGTGCTCCAATACTGGAAATTGTTTAGAAGAGACTGGACAACGATCTGTCTGAAATGGTATAGGCCAGTGATGGCGAACCTTTTAGAGACTGAGTGCCCAAACTGCAACCCAAAACCCACTTATGCATCGTTGAGTGCCAGGTGGGTGTGGCCCATTGGGTGGGCATGGGCCAATTGGGTGGGCATGGCCCATTGGGTGGGCATGGCTGCAGTGGTAACTGCAGACTGGGTGGGACTAAAAAATTTGGTCAATCAATTCCAACTTTGCAAGACCTTTTTTTTCCCACGAGAAGTTGAAATTGACTGATTGAAACTTTTTTTTTATTTTGCACATGGCAGCGGAGGCCTAAAGCAAAAAGGTTTTATAAAACCCAGCTGAAGGCCTATGACTGGGGCAATAGCGCGTGTGCCCATAGAGAGGGCTCTGAGTGCCGCCTCTGGCACCCGTGCCATAGGTTCGCCACCACTGGTATAAGCGGGTTTCCTCCCTGAGCAGGGGGTTGGACTAGATGACCTCCAAGGTCCTTTCCAACTCTGTTCTTCTGTTATATGCTTAATGACCGTGGCAAAAAGTCATGAAATCAAAAGCAATTAACCTAGCAATGATCTTGCTTAACAATGGAAGTTCTGGACCCAATTGACGTCATAACCTGAGGACTACCTCATGTGCGGTCATGTGAAGGATGCTGGACCACGAGTGGTGAGAATGCAGATTCTTCTCCCTCTTTAGCCATGGAAGCTCCATGGGAGACCCTGGTTGAGTTCCATCCTGTCAGTTCCAGGATAGAATAATGGGGACAGTGTTAAGCAGGAAGACCCAGGACCTAGCTGACATAAAAAAAAAAATTAAAACATAAATAAACCCAGAGTTGTTTCCCTTGCCTAGGATGCTATCCATCCAAGGCAGTACAGTGTTTTTGAAAAGCAGAAGCCTTTACTCCTTTTCAGGGGTTGCAACTGAACAGAACAGAATAACAGCGTTGGAAGGGACCTTGGAGGTCCTCTAGTCCAACCCCCTGCTGAAGCAGGAGACCCTATTCAGGGGTAGAATTCTGGAAGCTGAAGTCCACGAGTCATAAAAGAGCCAAGGTTGCCTACCCCTGCCCTATACCATTCCAGGCAAGTGGCTGTCCAGTCTTTTACTCACTTGTTGGTGGGCACGTGTTAGTTAGGCAGGTTCTACTCGGAGTAAACAGAGCCCAACATAGCAAGGATCTGAGCCCGAGTGTAGGGCTTTTCAACCAGTGGTACGGGTACCACCTGTGGTACATTGGCACCTGGCAGGTGGTATGCAACCTTCCTAGAAAAGTGGTAGCGGGGGAGGGGAATGGGCTGAACCGGTGGCAGCACCACATAAGCCTGAGCGAGAGATGGCTGGAGTTGCAGGGTTCTCGGGGCTCAGCGGAAGCACCAGGATCAGCGCCAAGCTCTAGCTGGAGCTCGGCGCTGATCCTGGTGCTTCTGCTGAGTCCAGAAGAAGCACTGATCAGCTGAAATGTTGCAGCATCTCCAGGGTCTTGTGATTTACATTCATATACTTGGCAACTGATTCATATTTATGATGGTCGCAGTGTCCCAGGGTCATGTGAATTGACCAAAACCTGCTGCAACCACCCAGCAGACGGGGGGAATAAAAATCACACACCCCCACCCCACCCCCACTGCCAATCCTCAACAGAAATGCTCACAACAACCTCGGACAGGAGGAAGAGCGCCGCCGGGCAGGCAGGCAGGTGTCTTGCTTGTCTGTGGCTTGGGGGGCCCTTTTTTCAGTGCCATTGTAACTTGGAATAGTCACTAAGCAAACTGTTGTAAGTCGAGGACTACCTTCATCACTTTTTTCCTTTTTTTTTGTTATCAAGTTTTTGATACCTTGCTAGGCGACTGGTGGTACTTGGATGTTGCCATATCCTGAAAGTGATACAATGGGTGAAAAAGTTTAAA